TGCCGGCCTTGGACCCCGCCCTCCACCGGGAAGGCGAGGTCCCTGCCCCCGAAGTAGGCCGAAATTATTCGCCGGAGATAGGCGGGAACCCCATGGTGTTCGAGGGCCCGCCCAATCTCCGGCCAGGGCAGGGTGTTGAAGGCATTCGTTATGTCCAACGAAACCGCCAACAACACCCCGCCTTCTTCCTCCACAACCGCCTGGGCCAGGTCTCGGAAGCATTGGATAGCATCGATCTTCCGGGCCTGAACCCGTATTGGCGGTCGTGGAGATCCGGCCCCTCCGAGGACAGATGCTGGACGAGGCGGTCTGCAACGATGCGCTCCAGCATCTTGCCCACCTCGTCCAGCAGGCATATCGGCCTGTAGGCCGACGCACTCCTGGGTGCTTTACCCTCCTTGGGGAGGAGGACCAATTTGGCCCTCTTCCACTCTGGGGGGAATACCCCCTCCTTGAGGCACCCGCTGAATACCCTGCGCGTGGCTTCGGACAGGTTTCCCTCGCCGAGGGCGAGGGCCCAGGCTCGGCCAGGAATTCCGTCGGGGCCAGGGGCTTTCCCCTTGGCCCCGAGCCTTTTCCTGGCCGCGGTGAACTCCTCTGGACTCACCGCCAGACCCTCGTCCCAATCACCTTCCCCCAATGGGGGGGTTGGGATCATGGGGGCCCCCTTCTGCCCTCGGAAAGAGGGCGTCCAGGAACCCTTCGAGGGTCTGGCGGTCCAACGTCTCCGTTGGTGGGGGCGCCCATGGACGGATCTTTCCCATGACCCTTTTGTATGGACGCCCCCACGGATCGTCGTCCAGGGAGCTCACCATCTGCTCCCAGGCCGCTCGCTTGGCCTCGACGATGGCGACCTTGAGGGCTTTCCTGGCTTGCAGGTAGCACTCTCTTGTCCTCGCGGCATCCCCGCCTCGTCGCCGGGCCCGGTAATACAACCGTCTGGCTTGGACGGAGGAGTCCCGGAGTGTCTCCAGCTCCTCCGTCCACCAGTACATGGCCCGGCGCCGGCGGGGGTGGGGCATCGCGACGTCGCATGCCGCCGCCACGATGCCCACTATTTCCCCAGCCCCGTCCGCGGGACTGGGGTCCCACTCACCTGGCCCCACATCTAGGTGCCAGGTGGCCGCAAGGACGGCCGCCCGAAACCTGTCCGAATCGAATCGATTAAGGGCCCATCTTTTGGGAAGGGGAAAGTTCCCCTCCCCTGGGCAGCGGGCCAGCACCTGTGCGGGTTTGGGGAGGCGGAGGGCCCACGCTATATGTCTATGATCAGACAGCGATTCGCCCTCCGCCTCCACCCTCCATTCGTGGAACATCCCAGTGGCCGAGGGGGTGGCCCAGGTCAAATCTATGACTGAACTCCCCCTCGGCCGCACACAGGTGCTGGTTGAGCCCCTGTTCATTAACAGGAGACCCAGCCCCGCTGACCAGCCGATCACGGACTCGCCCCGAGGGTCCCTTTGCCGGGGACTGCAACCCCACCCTTCCGAGTGGGCGTTGAAGTCCCCGGCAATCACGACAGGCCGGGGATGGCACCTACGTACCAATTCCCCGATCCTGTCGAGGACCCTCTTCACTGGGGCGAGTTCCCCGAGACCGGCTTTATTCCTGCAGGCCCTGGAACCTCCCCAACTAGGGACCCCGCCAGGGAGACGACCGAACCAGAGTAGGCTAGTCCACCGTCCGGGGACCCGAAGGACGTCCCCGGTTTATCACTTGGTTTCTTAGCAAATTGCAATAATTTTGAAAACAAAGGTCTATGAGACTAGGTCCGAAAATTTAGAAGAGCTGCGGGAAAAAATAGTGAACGTTCCAAATTTAATCGCACCCGATTTTTTAACTAACGTAATTGAAACGTTTTACGTTCGCTTAAGACACTGCCAAGTTGTCGAAGGACATCAATTTGAACATTTGATTAAATAATTAGTGTTTTTATTCCTTCACATACGCCAGTGTTCCTATCTCGGTCTTACCTTAGTTGGCCGGACACGCTAACGGTCTTGTCTTAGTTGGCCGAACACGCACACACACACACACACGCGCGCACGCACGCACGCATGCATGCACGCACGCACGCACACAAAGGAACGCGCGTGCCCGCGTGAAGCCTGACCTTTCTTCTGTTGTCGCTGTGGGCCCTCGCAAAATCTCAATGTTCAAATGATTATAACTCTGCGAAAAAAAATCGTCGAGACCTCGGCGACCTCGCGTTGTTTTCGTCTCGGAAAGTCTTTTCGAACGAATCCTCACTCAACCCAACATGCCATTTGAGATTTTTCGGCTCCCTCCTCCCCCCGGCCCCAGGGGGTATGGAGGTGGGGATTTTTGTGGTTAAATAATAGACTTTGTGATCCCATTGAATCTTAATAAATTTCAATCCTATATTTCAAACCGTTCAAAAATTATTTAGGTGGCCCCGAACTTTCGTAGGCACTGTATATGTATATATATTTTTATAAAATCAGTGTATATGTGTGTGTGTGTGTGTGTGTGTGTGTGTGTGTGTGTGTGCGCGTGTGCGTGTGTGTGTGCGTGCGTGTGCGTGTGTGTGTGCGTACGTGTGTGCGTGTGTGCGCGTGTGCGTGCATGTGTGTGTGTGTGTGTACGCGCGTATGTGAGCGTATGATGAAATTAATAATTAATAATAAATAACGTATATATGAGGAAGACATATATATATATATATACTACATGGGCTGAAAAGTCTTTGGCTTAACAATGAAAAAATGATTTTTTTAATGAAAAAAGTGTTTTATTCCTCAACATAATCTCTATTTAGAGTAATGCACTTAGTGTAACGGTCCGCTAACATTTCGATGCCGGTCTTATAGTGCTCGGTGTCAAGTCCCTCAAAATACGCATTTGTTTCCAACTTGACCTCCTCATTCGAGTAAAATCTTTTACCAGCGAGCCACTGCTTCAGTCGGGGAAAAAGGAAATAGTCGCTGGGGGCCAGGTCTGGAGAATACGGGGGATGCGGGACCAATTCATAGCGCAATTTCTTTAATTTATCGGTCGTATCGCGAGTCGAGTGAGCTGGAGCATTGTCTTGGTGAAACAAAATTTTTTTCTTTGCCAAATGTGGCCACTTGACCTTGACCTCGTCGTCCAATCGATCTAGTAATGTACAGTAATATTCTTTATTGATAGTTTTACCATGTTCAAGATAATCAATGAATATTATGTTATGCGCATCCCAAAAAATACTGGCCAAAACCTTGCCAGCTGATTGTTGTGTCTTCGGACGTTTCGGACGGCTTTCACCAGGCAATAACCACTCCGCTGACTGCCGATTGGACTCCGGTGTGTAGTGATGGATCCATGTTTCATCCATTGTGACAAATCGACGCAAAAACTCCTTCTTATTGCGGTTAAACAGGGCCAGATTTTGCTTTGAAAGTCGAACACGTTCCGCTTTTTGCTCAATTGTCAAAAAACGCGGCAAAGCTTTTTCATGTGTAAATATTCATGAATGATATGACCAACGCGTTCTTTTGAGATGCCTATGATGTTAGCTAGCTCACTCAATTTCATTTTGCGGTCATTCAACACGATTTCACTGATTTTTTGGATGTTTTCTGGAGTAACTGCCTCATTTGGCCTTCCTGAACGTGGTGCATCATTTGTGCTCGTACGGTTACGACGAAACTCAGCAAACCAATATTTGATGGTTGAATTCGGTGGGGCAGATGTGCCGTAACATTTATCAAGCCATGCCTTTGTTTCAACAGTGTTTTTTCCCATCAGGAAGCAATGTTTAATCAAAACACGAAATTCACTTTTTTCCATAGTAAAGATAAATTCAGAGATAACGTCACTTCGAAAGCTATAACTTGTACACGAGTCAACGAAATATCATGAAATTTTTACAGCATCTAAGTTAAGGTTGGTACTCTATAGGAAATATAAGGATTTTTAGTTTGTGGCGCCATCTATGTCAGGCTAAAGACTTTTCAGCCCATGTAGTATATATATATTGTTAAATCAATAAATAACATATATTTATATGTGTATTCCTCACATATATATTGTTAATTAATGATGAATAACATATATATGAGGAAGACATATGTATATATTGTTAAATCAATAAATAACATATATGTTGTGAAGGAATATCCGACGACGGATTTTCTTAATATGAAATTTACACTTTTTATCTTTGGCTACAAATAACGCAGTAACGAGAGCATTTAGGGCAAAAATAAATTTTATTTTCGTATATGTAATGTAATAAGCTCCTGTTGATTCGATTGCGCCTACTTAGAACTTGATCTGACCAACCATTACAGAGCTACAACTATTTGGTTATTTCCTATCTCGAGCTGTCGCGTAAAGTTTGCGTTCATTTGCTCGCTTCGCGTGCATTTGGCGCGAGACACTACCGTGTCTCTTGATGTTCTGTTGGATCGACTTATATAATTTCATTATAATATTCTTATTTTGAAAATATACAAAAGGATCGAAATTTTTGAACCATTTAGGTAGAAATCCCACGTTAACAGCTGATTCATTATGATAAAAGGCATACACGAGCTACATGCGTAACAGTCTCGACGAAAATCATATGAAAAGTGAATCGGTATTTAGAATAATCCAGAATAATGAATAATCCAGAAGAATAATCTGTGAATAATCTAAGAACAGAGAGAGAGAGAGAGAAAGGAGGAAGAGAGGAGAAAGAGAATTTTGTTTTTTTCTAAAAAAGTAAAAAGTTGGGTATAAGTTTATAAATATAACAAATGTATATTAAGAAAAATCCAAAGTATTATCTATATCTTGTTCTACATTCTAAGAATTCTTTCACAGGAAGCAATTAGATTTTGCTTTTTTTCTTTATATATATATATTTTTAGATATATATATTTTTTTAAGTTATACTCTACATATTTTTAAGATATAAGAAAATATATAGATTATATAAAGTAAAAAATTGTAATAACTCCTTATATATATATAATGCACAGTGTGTAGGAAAAGAGAGTTCAGTAAGAATTCTTTTAATTGTGTTCTTGACACCAAGTAAAAGCATTATCAAAAAGACGCTGCCATGGTGAGACTTCAAAGTTCCATTCGGATGGTTTCCAAGGCCATTGCCACATTCGCGTGCATCTTTCTGGGTGCGGCATCATCGCTAAATGTCGACCATCTTTAGAGCATACAGCGGCGATACCATTTATGCTACCGTTAGGATTCATGGGATAGCAAGTAGTAGGATGGCCACAATCATCAGTATATCTGATACAGACAATACAAAAAATATGGTACCACGATATAAAATATAATATGAATAATACGATATAAATAAATATAATATAAAATATAATAACCAGGGTAACCTACATAAGTTTTACAAATTAATATCCTAATGATTATGCAAAATTTTAATCTTCTAAGATTTATATTTTATAAATCTGCGGAGAAATTTAAATTTAAATCTATGTTACGATTAGACCTTATTCATCCTCTCAAAAATGTATAAAATACGAAGTTATTTTAAAATTTTAATGGATATTTATATGAAATCAATTATTTTCGTAAATTAAAAAATAAGTAATTTTTTTCCGAAATATTGTTTTTTAATCATTATTTAAAAAATTATAAGCGTTTGAAAATTGAACATAAATGACTGGATTAAAATGCAATTTTAGAAATTCATTAGATTGAATTAGAATAATAATAAAAGTCCTCCCTAATTCAAATTTCTTCCCTAATTCAAATTTCACTGCGTCTATAAATTTACAAATATGAAATGATATAAAAAATTACTCGAATTTACATACACAGATACCATTTATGATAATAACACTTTCCTAATCATGTTTTAATGAAGAAGTGAATATGTTGTTAATCTTGGAAATATCACAGATTATCTTGCAACAGCAATATTTTTTGAAAATCTCTTGAATTTGTGATATTAAAAAATTATATAAAGCTTTTTAAATTTAGAAATCTAGAGAGAGGGAGAGAGAGAGAGAGAGGAAGGGTGAGAAGGAGAAGGAGGAAAGAGGGGGAGGAATTTTAATATATAAAAATATACCTAAGCGGCAAGCAATTATTTCTTTCTAGACTTTTCAAAATCTTCTTGTTGCGGAATGTGAATCTACCCTCTCCATGGGCTATCCATATCCCTAATACACTGCCCTCCATTGCTTTTAGCATAATTGCGGGAGAACTCTCGATTTTGACGGTGCTCCATCGACACTCAAATCTTTCAGAAAGATTGTGATCTAAATAAATAGCTCTTTCTTCTGCAAATTCATTGCCAACCCACCCTAGTAGGCTCATTAGCTGACAACCATTGCAAACTCCCAAACTGAAAGTATTTTCACGAGTTATAAAATGTCGTAACTGGTCGCGCAGAGATGGATGGAAAATGAGACTCGCCGCCCATCCTTTGGCAGAGCCACAAACGTCCGCATAACTAAAGCCACCGGGAAATATAACGCCCCGGAAGATATCCAGAGTAATATGTTTCTGTAAAAGATCTTGCATTGTAACATCCCAAACATCAAAGCCAGCTTCTAGTAATGATGCAGTCATCTCTCTATCTCCATTAATACCCTCTTCTCGAATTACGGCCACTTTAATGCATTTTGATATTGGAGATATCGTGAAGTCATGATAAATATTAGTGGGATTAAAACTAAGATGATAGGCAGGAACTGTTCGTTCTCGAAGCCCAACAAATTCTTCCAAAGCACAGTCGACATTCATTTGATTACGTTCCAATTGATAACTCGTTTCTTCCCAAATATTCATTGAATTAATAACTGTAGTATTCAACACGGTCTGATTGCGCACTTTAACAAGTACTTGCGAGCTCGTTCCAAAGCCCACGGATTTTCCAATCAAGTAAATAGGCACATCATGTAGTTGAAACACTTTTATTGTTTCATCATGATGTATTTCATCTACTTCTAATATCCACCCAACTTCTTCAGAGAATAGAATATCAACATCGGGTGCAGATCTGTGACTTATGTTAACATTTATCCCGGACATCCCACCGAAGCACATTTCTAACAAACAAGTGATCAGCCCACCATCGCTTACATCATGGCCAGCGAGTATCTTGTCATTGGCAATTAACAGCTGTGTGGCATCGAAGGCATTCTTAAGAGTTCGAGCGCTTTCAACATCTGGTACGTCATCGCCTAATTGATTATAAACTTGAGACAATGCTGTTCCACCAAGTCGACTTTTGTCGCAGGACAAATCGACGAAAAATAGATAGCCTTGCCGTCCCGCTGCAGGAGCTTTCAAATCCGGAGTAACGACACAGCGAATATCAGGACAGGGTGCGTAGCAAGATACAACGAGCGTACCAGGTGCTTTAACAATTTCTTGGTCAACTCGGGCAGCCATACTCAACGAATCCTTACCGCCGTCAATTGCAATACCGAGTTCTTTCATCAACGAACACATCGCCGTACAAGCTTCATAAAGTGCTGCACCTTCACCAGGCAGCTTAGCTGGCCACATCCAGTTACCGCTGCACTTGACGTCTTGTAAACTGGAGATTCGTGCAAACACTAAATTACTGACAGCCTCAGCTACTGTCATCCGAGCACCAGCCGCTGCATTTACCAGTCCTTTTATAGGTTGTTCGCCGATAGAAGTCGCAATACCTTTTACGGAAAAATACGAAATGGCTGTGACAGCAACATCCGCTAATGGAGTATGTAGCGGACCGACGCATTGCTGTTGAGCCACCAGGCCTGTCACACAACGGTCCACTTTGTTGGTCAGGTACCTAATAAATATGTTTCATTTATCATCGTTTTATTCACTTATTTTATCTTATAGGGTGAGTATTTTTAATCTTAACAAGCAAATATTTCGAAAAAATGCAATTTTACAAAAAAACTTTTTAAATAAAAATTGTATGATGTTAAGGGGGACATATATAGTGACCTTGGTTTGACCTTGGGGCACCTACTTAAGGTCAGAGAATGATCAACCTAATTTTCTCAAATGGAACCCCCTATTTTTCATATCATATTCTTATAGTTGGCCTCAAGACCTTTCCAAAACATTATGACAAAATATCTTTTTATTGAGTACTTTCCGAGTTATGAGACTCAAAGGTTAACAGGTGAAGGTTAAGTCAATCCACTATCTTAAAACGATTAGGTTTGAGACAAAGAAAGAATGATGACCTTGGTTGATTTCGACATATTGTCCTCAAGCTCAGGTCGAAGTCATCTTGAATTTTTTAAATATACTTTTTTCTAATCCTACTTTTAGCGCTACCCAGGAATAACGACATGGACGTAGTAATTTTCTATTCTTTTTGGGGTGCTTGATTTCCGTGAGTCCCCTTGCCTCTCATGATTTACGTGAATTTATAACATTCTTTCAAATGTATCACCATTCACCCAATTTGCAAAAAGCATCAGTTTATTTACAGATGACACTATTTTCGAGATATTCACTGATTATTACTTTTCTTAAGTGTAAGTCCCAATTTTTTATTATATCATCTTTATCTACTAGTTAATTTGAACAACTTTTATCTGGAACATTTTTTTATTTTCCTAATATTTTTTTAGATATTTAAGAGAAACTTAGCAACTTTTTCAATATTTAACTTACGATGTCTTGCTATTTGTCGGAAGAAGAAACAGTACTAGACTCTTTTATTCTATTTGGTATCAAGAATATATTGTTATAATAAAGTCCTAACTTTTATTAACTTATCAATCTTTCGAAATTTCAAAATATCAAATTAATAAAAGGTCAAGACGCTATTATATAATAAGTTTCTCCTAAATATCTCAAAAAATATTAGGCAAATAAAAAATTTTCCAGATAAAAATTATTCAAATTAACTAGTAGAAAAAGATAATATAATAAAACATTGGGGCTTCCATTTAAGAAAAATAATAATCAGTGAATATTTCAAAAGTGGCGCCATCTGTAAACAAACTGATATAGTTGTTTTATGTATCCCTTGAAACCATACAACTTTTGTCTAAAATATTTTTCGACTTAACGCAGTATTTCTGCGATATTTGAGTGGATCCTTTAAAATGGGACACTGTATATAGGATATTTCATTTTAAGTGATATGGTCGATTATCTCGCGAATCGATGATTTTATTGAAAAATTTTTCCAACGAAAGTTGCATGGCTTGAAAGGGGACACATGATGGAAATGTGAACTTGACCTTGAATGACTTTGTCAAAATCAGGTCAAGGTCATTAGTTTTTTCAAATGGAAACCCCTATTTTTTATTACACATTCTTATAGCTTATCTCGAGAACTTTCCAAAACATTATAATAAAGTAACATTTCATTGAGTACTTTCCGAGTTATGAGACTTGAAAGTTAAGGCAAGACCGATCACTGATCCGGCCAACTAAGACAAGACCGATCACTGAACCGGCCAACTAAAGCAAGATCGATCATTGATTCGGCCAACTAAGGCGAGACCGATCACTAATCCGGCTAAGGCAAGACCGATCACTGATCCGGCCAACTAAGGCAAGACCGATCACTAATATGGTAAATTAAGGCAAAACATATCAACGGCTAAAGACATATATGAATTGATCTTGCCTTAGTTGGCCGTATCAGTGATCGGTCTTGCCTTAACTTTCAAGCCTCATAACTCGGAAAGTATTCAATAAAATGTTACTTTATTATAATATTTTGGAAAGCTCTCGAGATAAGCTATAAAAATATATAATAAAAAATAGGGGTTTCCATTTAAAAAAACATTAATGACCTTGATCTAATTTTGACAAGGTCACTCAAGGTCAAGTCATGCAACTTTTGTTCGAAAATTTTTCAATAAAATCATCGATTCGCGAGATAATTGACCATATCACTTGAAATAAAACACCCTGTATAGGGTATCGCCGACTAACCGTTTTTTTGTAAATGCGACATTTTAAGAAAAAATGTTTCAGACAAAAGTTGCTTGGTTTGAAGAAGGACATAAAATAGCTTAATTAGTTTGTTTACAAATGGCGTCACTTTCGAGATATTCACTGATCATTGCTTTTCTTAAATGGAATTCCAAATTTTTTATTATATCATCTTTTTCCACCATTTAATTTTAACAACTTTTGTCTGAAACATTTTTTATTTGTCTAATATCTTTTGAGATATTTAAGAAAAGCTTGGTAACTTTTCTATATTTAACTTACAATATTTCGCTATTTGTCGGAAGAAAAAATAGCACTAGACCTTTGTACTCTATTTGATCTCAAGAATATATTGTTACAAAATGCCCTAACTTTTGTTTAGTTACCGACTTTTGGAAATTTCAAAATCATCAAATTAACAAAAATCAGGGCGTTGTAACAATATATTCTTGAGATCAAGTAGAGTAAAAAGTCTGCTACCATTTTTTTTCGACAAAGAGCAGAATATCATAAATTAAATATTGAAAAAGTTACCAAGTTTTCCTTAAATATCTCAAAACGTATTAGATAAAAAAAATGTTTCAGAGAAAAGTTGTTCAAATTTACTAGTAGAAAAATATCATATGATAGAAAATAGGGGCTTCTATTTAAGAAAAGTAATGACCAGTGATTAGAATATGATGAATAATCAAAATATCTCGAAAGTGGCTCCATCTATAAACAAACTAATATAGTTGTTTTATATCCTCCTTGAAACATACAACTTTTGTTTGAAACATTTTTTTCTACGACCGTTTCCTGCAAAGTTGCGATAGGTGATAGATTAAAATTGAACACCCTGTATATACAAGATGTCCTATTTTGAAAAACGCACTACGATAATTTTTTAACGAACTATTTTCAGCAAAAGTATTTCGGACAAAAGTTGTATGATTTCAAGGGGGACATAAAATAATTATACTATTTTGTTTACAAATGGCGCCATTTTCGAGATATTCACTGATCCTTATTTTTCTTAAATGATAACTCCAATTTTTTATTATACCATCTTTTTCTACCAATTAATTTAAACAACTTTTGTTTGAAATCTTTTTTTATTTGCCTAATATTTTTTGAGATATTTAAGGAAAACTTGGTAACCTTTTCAATATTTAACTTACGATAACTCGCTAACTATTTGTCGGAAGAAAAAGTGGTACTAGACTTTTCTGTTCTACTTGGTCTCAAGAATATATTATATATTGTTACAATAGCGCCCTGACTATTGTTAATTTGATGATTTTGAAATTTCCAAAAGTCAGTAAGTAATTAACAGAAGTCAGGACGCTATTATAACAATATATTCTTGAGATTAAATAGAGCAGAAAAGTCTAGTATCACTTTTTCTTCCGACAAATAGCTAGCGAGATACCATAAGTTAAATAAAAATATAAGTTAAATAAAAATATTGAAAAAATTATCAAATTTTCCTTAAATATCTCAAAAAATGTTTGACAAATAAAAAAATATTTTAGACAGAAGTTGTTTAAATTAATTGGTAGAAAGAGACAATGTAATAAAAAATTGAGGTTTCCATTTAAGAAAAATAATAATCAGTGAATATGTCGAAAGTGATACATTTGTAAACAAAATAGTATAGTTATTTTATGTTTCCCTTAAAATCATACAACTTTTGTCCGAAATATTTTTGCTGGAAATGCTTGGTTGAAAAATTATCGAGGTACGTCGTTTAAAATGATACGCTGTATATAGATTGTCCCATTTTTAAAGAACCAGGCAAAAATTTCGAAAAATATGAAAAATACTAAGGAAAATTTCAGATAAAAGTTATTTGGTTCGAAGGGGGACATAAGATGGTGCTATTAATATGACTTTGGATAGTTATTTGAAAGTCGCATAAAAGTTACTTTCAGTTTCTTAAATAGAAATTCTCATTTTTCATTGCACAATTTTATAGCTTATCTCGAGAGATTTCCAAAACATTACTGAAAATATTTTTTCATTAAGTACTTTACGAGTTATGAGACTTAAAAGTTACAATATTGTCGACATTAGCATTACCCAAGGTGTACCACATAGAAGTTTTGCGTTAATATTCAGACCTTATGTGTGCGTACGCGTGCGCGTGCGCGTGTGCGTGTGCATGTGCGTGTGCGTATGCATGCATGCGCGCGCGCGCGCGCGTGTGTGTGTGGAATATAAATTATTATATATATTATATATATTAAGCCAATAAATATTCAAATGCTTGGCCGTTTATTTCAATGTATTGGGTATGGGAATAAGTTTTAATCGTTTTTTATGCAGACAAAAAACATAGTTTGAATATGAAAATATTAAATGATTTTATTCAAAATATTTTCCATCTGAAGCGACAACCTTCGCCCATCTTTCGGGCAATAAACGGATTCCTCGAGTGAAGAATTCTATTTCTTTCGAGGCGATCCAGTCATCGACCTATTGTTGTATGCTGTCATATAAGGTGAAGCGCTCTCCAGTAAGTGCCGACTGCATCGACCAGAACAAATGATAGTCTGAAGGGGCAATGTTTGGTGAATACGGCGGGTGGGGTAGGACCTCCCATTTCACCCTTTCTAGATATGTCTGGACGGGTTGACCAACATGTGACCTAGCGTTGTCGTGCTGCAAAATCAGCTTCTCGTGTCTATCGCGCCATTCCAGCCGTTTTTCTTGAATAGCTTGTTTCAAACGCATTAGTTGAAGTCGGTAACGTTGGGAATTGATAGTTTCGGACGGTTTCAGCAGCTCATAGTAGACTACACCCCGCATATCCCACCAGATACAGAGCATGACCTTTGACCCGTGAATATTGCGCTTTGGCGTTGATGGACCTGGTTCATCTGGCTTCACCCATGCTAG